TTGAGTCGATTGACTTTTCGAGATGACTGGTTGACTGACTCGTTTGACTTTAGCGACTGGTTGACTGATTTGATTCCCGAAAATTAGAGTGACTCGTATGATTGAGTCGATTGAATGGAAAGTTCAAATAAGTTTTAGTTGACGAAAAATAATGACACCAATTGATGACATCAAAGATCACAAAACTACACTGAAAACTGCTTGTCATCACAACTGCAATATGGGGTAGAAGGCCAAATAAAGAACAGGGCCTAAACATGAACAGCAAACTTTGACTTTCAACTGCAATAACTGCTCCAATCCTGGTGATAGAACCTGGCGATGCACCTACCTACCTTTCTGCACTCAGCAGCAAACGTTTTTTTTTTTAATCCAGATGATAAAGTGCAAGGCCCTATATACTAATAATGTGTGATTAATTAAAATAATTCACATCTCCACATCTCCTCAGAAACAACCCACTGAGCTCTATAAATATCTGAAACCCCTACAAAAATAACTGAAACAAGAGCGCCGTTTTCGTCTCGCTAATTGAATTAATACGTAGCTAATTAATAGCTAATTTGCTGCATTGTTTAATTTGCAGCAGAACGTTTGTTGATCCTTTTCTCCTGAGAGCCTAAGCATAACATATTTAATATATTTCATTTTCCTTAAAATATTTTACCGAATATTATTAACAGTGGTTTTATTTCAAATGAAATAATAATTAAAACGAAATTGGTGTTGTACAACCGATTTATTTTATGATGATCTACCATACTACATGATAATCGATGACGTCATCTTACCAAAAATTCAAAAGACGTAGAATAAGGATTTATAAAAGCTTAACATACTTATTGGCAAAACGCAGTCGCACCGTGCCGTTTTCGCGTTTTAATTTTCCTTCCCCATGATCTTGCAATTTATCAACTTTATTTCATAAATGTACCAGATTTATCACAGGCTATATTAATAAGGAAAGGAAGGAATGATTAACCTACCTCACAGGTACCTACCTATCTACCTTCGTTGGTACTGTTGGTAGCCAGTGACACATCTAGGCAGGTAAGCAGGTATCTACCTGCTTTCCTGCTGTCTTCATAAAGCATACCTAATGAAGTTGTCAAATTTGTAGCACATTTTCAACACTTTCATATGGTGTCAGTGTGGTATGAAACCTAGCTAGGTTCATTATGTTCAGGATTCATTTCAGAAGAGCTCCGCATAACTCACATAAGAGACAGACAGGGGCTTTACATGGGGTAGATGGCCTGATGACTTAGCTGGAATATGGCCAGAATTAAATTGACAACTTTTAGGTGAAAGGTGGTGATTTGGGTTAAGGGGCGAGTCAACTACTGGGTTATTTTGCACCCATTAAATGAAACTTCTGCTCCAATTCTACCCATTGAACCTAAATATCATGATCCACCTGTCCATCACTAGGTATCCTTCCTTATTACATAGAAACTCAAATGGCATGGTAATTTATAATTTTAAATGACAATATTTTTATGTGTCTTCTGTAGGTAGTTAGGTAGGTAGGTAGGTAGGTACACCAGACTGCTTTAGACACTTTTCCAAGTTGGTGGGGCAAAAAACCTAATGTATGTCTTGGATTGAGTCGTTTGATTGAGTTGATTGATTCCTTTCATTGTCGCGTTTGAGTCGATTGAATCAATTCCCGAAAACTGCTCTGACTTGATTGATTTGATTGGTTTCCCAAATTTGTCGTGATTGAATTGATTGCTATTGATTGAGTCGTATACAACCCTGCTGGTAAGAACGCTAAGAAGGTTCAAATTCAAGAGTAGCCAGTTGGCGTTGGGCGCCCCTCTGACTGGCTAGGAAAGTGTTAACCAAACCGAAAGGTGTTAGGTGGAGACCAATTTGGTCAGGGCTGTATGGCGAGCGGTCCTGTTTTCCAGGAGCAGTCGAAGGGAAGTGGCTGCAACTCGACAGCACGGTGGGTGGAAGACGTAAACAGATTATGCACTTTTTAGGTACCGTATAGGTTATGTGGTGAAAACTGGAAACGGGCCATAAAGATAGCGGCCGTGATGACAGATCAAGTTCCTTTAGGTATAGGTACGCGCACTGACGGACCCAGAAAGGCGGTCTTGGAGGCTGTGAGGGGTGGGGCATAACACCAAAAAGGTTTCGCCAAGTTCCAGATACTCGTCAGATTTCGATTCCTTCACATATCTGCGTAGTTTTAAACAATTTCCTAATAAAATTGACTTAGTTTTCGTTTTATTCTCGAAAAAACGAGAGGTTTCATCGATCTCCGGCACTGCGGGGGGGGGGGGAGGGAGCAATAATGTACGTACATGAAGAATGTCTTTCACGAAACAGCAGGCAATGCTGGACATGACTTAGCCGTCTGCTCAATAAAAAAGAAAAGCTTCTAATTCCAGGAAAAATGGCGCAGTTTGATACCTATAGAAACATAGCTGGGAATAAGTATTAGTTGCATTTCCAGGTAGTGAGAAGCGTCATTACAGCCTTGCGTTTTTACCAAAGCTATCTTTCTTTAAACCAGGAATGTTTAATTTGTTCGCGAGTTAAACATGATAACGCTGAACGCATACGAACATTAACGTTCATGATTTGCAAAATTGTTATCAATGAAAGCTAAAATACCTAAACGTATCCTCATCGCTGAATGGAACGATAACGATCACTGATCAGTGATCAGACGATTGGTGACTTTTAAATGACGACTACCATAACAACTATACACACGCTTCCTGTAGATCCGGCGGAAACTGAGAATGCATCCGTCCGACTCTGTTGTCAAGTCAATTGACAACAATAGTGCACGTGGTTTAGATCAGCCGCTCTCACGCCCCACGCACTGCCGGCGCACCCACATTACGCAGCTCGTGCCGGAAATGCAGCACTGGCGGGTCCAGGGGGATTCATTTGGGGGTAAATGCGCCCTCCGTTACGCCCGAGCGAGATTGATGAGAATGTGCCGTTAAGATAAAAGAAAACTCTTTTATTGGGAAAAGCTGATTTGAGCTGCCAAGTAGTGCATATGGAATCGAAATCATAGCTTTTTATTTTGGATAAACTTTTTGGGACGGGTATTGGACGGGGTAGGACGGCTATTCAGCCGACTATGCGACTGTCCAATGTGCATTGTTCTCTTACCTCGCAGCAAGATGTGAAATAAATAGGCACTTCTTTAAAAGCATAGGTGGCGGAACGGGGAGGGCACCGGGGCACCGTGCCCCCTTTGATTTTGGCATTTTAACATTAGCCTTATGGGTGTTGCATGGAAAGAATGGGACCAAAAGTCGGCAGTGCCCCCCCCCCCTTAATTGAGGGTGTTCCGCCGCTACTGTTTAAAAGCACATGGATCATGGAAGCAGTGATTATGGCGAAGTGCCACGAACGGTGTCGGGTGTTGTATTTTTTTTTGTGTCGATAATCTAAGAGAGTAGTTCTTTTTTATTCTCAAGCCTGCCCCTTTTAGTTTGGATGGACTGGCATCATGTTTCTACTTTCCGCAGGAAGCGCCCATCCGCCGGAACCGTTCACCGTCCAATAGCCCTGTCTCGTGTCTGGGCTAACGAACGGTCCGAGCCATCCGCCCTACCGGAGCCCATCGGTCCCGTGTCGTCCGAATTTCAAACTATCCCTGCTCCGTCCATCACTCCTTCCTCCGCCGTCCCTCCCCGTCTCGCCTTTCGTCCCCATGTGCCAAGACGACACCGGAGGACACCCGCCTCCCCTCCCCGCACCTCCCCAGCCGCCTCTGTCGGCCGCGCGGCTCGACCAATCACAGGCCGCGCCGGCCCGCCTCCAGGGGGGGGGGGGGGGAGCGCGGCGCGCGGCCGCAGTGCTGCCAGATTTGGAGGATTTCCGCAAATCTGGAGGATTTTGAACTCTATTTGCGGACAAATTTCGCTTTTGGAGGATTTTTGATTCTGGAGGAAAATCTGGAGGATTTGTCGCCCGATTATTATATTCAATTTCATGGAAAAATATAACACATTCAATACTAAAAAGGCATTTTCCTGCCCAGCGTCACCCTACCCGTTAGGATATATCACGCCTCACCGTGAGACTGCAGAATGTCTCAGTCTGTAGCTATATCTACGAGGGTCGAGGGTACCAAACTACTGGCTGTCTAAGGGGGACATTTGGGGCAAATGCCCCCGGCCCCCCTGCAGCGCCCGAAATCGACGAAAATATTCGTTTTTTATAATAGGAAAACTAAACAAAAAACCTCGGCATCATATTTGATCGTCACCTGACCTGGGGTGATCATATCACAACGCTCACGAAACGCTGCTTTGGAGTTTTGGGTGGTCTCTCGCATCTCCGGGGGCACCTACCGCCCACTGTGATCTCCGTGCTGGTCAGCGCACTGGTCATATCCCAAATTCGATACTGCATCGCAGTATATGGTGCTTGCACCAGACACAATCTCTCTCGATACAAAAAATATTAAACTACGCAGCCAAAGTCATTTTCGGCCGAAAAAAGTACGACCATGTCTCCGATTTGATGTGCCAGTTGCGCTGGCTCAGCGCGGAGAACCTCGTCACCTACCACTCCCTGTGCCTGTTGCACAAAGTGCGGTGTTACGCCGAGCCGGAGGTGCTGGCGCACAGTCTGACCACTGTGGCGGAGGCGCGCGGCGGGGACGCTGATGTCAGTACCCGGCAGGACGCGCTCCTGCACGTGCCGCGATCCCGTACAGAGATGGGCAAACGCCGGTTCACCTGCCGAGCGCCGGCTGCCCTCAACTCGCTGCCACCTGATTTGACCCGACTGCCCCCTGGAGCTTTCGGACGTCACTTGCGTACCCATCTGCTCGAGGAGCAAAACACTGTCTAGCCAGCATGACTGTTTATCTGCACATGTGTTTCCCTTTCATCATCTTTTACCGTTTTTTATCACCATCTGTTTTATTGACGACGGGCAGTAATAGCCACATGTGCACGTGGAATGTCCTGAATAAATTGTCTATTGTCTATTGTCTATTGTTAAACAGCTTTTATAAGAAAAGGTATCTTTTAAACTGCACAGCAGTGCGAAAGGATTCGAAATCCGATGAGTTTTTAGAATTTGGTGAAACTTTTTTTGGGGGTATAGCCCCCTGCAGCGTCCAAGACCGCCTTTCTATATCTACCAATAGGATTTGGAGGAATCTGGAGGATTTTTTGTAACTGATCTGGAGGATTACAGCCTTCCCCATCTGGCAGCACTGCGCGGCCGCCGGCAGCCAGTGTGCCACAGACTCTAGCGCGGGTGGGTGCGCACGGGTAGAGAGGTGTTCGGTGGTCTACGATTTGTTTGGAAGTTATCCGCGCGGCAAACGTCTGGTCGGAAGCGAGGCCTGACGGAACGCCAGGGGAGCGTCGGACTGCAGCTACTTTTTAGGTAAGTTTGGCGACACGTGGAGCGGGTGCTGGTTTGCGGGGCCATGTTACAGGGGCTCCGCCACAGGGGGGTACGCGGGGGTCCGGACCCCCTCAATAATTTACCTGGGGGGTACAGTACCCCCCAATATTCCGAATACCTATAAGCTTGTTTTCGCGTAAGAATGACTAAATCGTTCACAGAATGTGTTGAATAATTTAGAATGTGCAGTGTTGACAGTCGCAAAGCTAAGGAATTTAAGATCTAGAAAAGTACAGATCCCTAAAAATGTGACACACGAAGCGCTCAACTCTCGCCGACCTAGTAGGTACGGGAGTGTCATTATTCTGCCATTTTGTTATTAAAATGAATGCGTTTAAGATTGCTATAGGATTAGCTCAGCATGCTAGAATTCGGCTATAATTTCGTGAGAGAGGTCCAGTTTGCAGGACACCTAGAGACAATACCCGCCCCAAAAGAGCTTCAAAGCGATTTGAGAATCCTTTTTCCATGTGAGGTCAACCGATAGTGTTGGGGGAAGGGGGTTAAGCCGGTCTTTCAAGCACCGTACTAGTCTAAGCAGCCTCACACCATTCTGAGGTAATCTGCAATAATCTGCACAGAGGCCTCTTGCACCAAACTACCTAGCTAGGTAAAATCGAAAAATCTGTTTCAGAATAAGCTAATCTAACGGTGGTAAATTTGTTTGCAATAGCCCAATACATAATCCTACATGTGCTTGCTAAATTTTGCACGCAAATTGTTACATTTGAGACTTGGACTGGGTATAAGATGCAAAATAATCCAAGCATTGGTGCAAGAGGATTTTGGTGCAAGAGGCCTCAGGACTCTGAATGCAGGTCGGTAGAGATACGTCTACAAATCACAACTCTTACAGGATCCCCTGCATAACCTGACCTTTGATTCTTGATATCCGTTTTCAGGTCGAGGTAGGTCACTCTCTGATCACAGAGACTGAATGTCATGAAGGACTCCATACTGCTATATGTATGAGGGCAGGGCTTTCAAATCCCTTCAACGACTCCTAAGGCCCTGCACTTTCCTTTAATTACGGCCTTGGAGGACACTGGCAGCTAAGAGCCTACATAGGTAGATATCTGAGCGCCTATGAAGGTCCCTGAGTTCCCAAGCTGAAGCGCATGCCAGTCACTGAGAGCCTAATGCGCTGTCTGATGGCTAACACCGCCCTTGGAGCGCGCAACAGCGGCCCCCATTGCTCAAAAACGTTGATTTGAGAGGCCGCCATGTCGGTGTCAATGGGCTCCGCTTCTTGGCTTCCGATTTCTTGTGCAAATTGATCCTTGGTTTTTCGGCTCAAAGCAAAGTTATCCCGATAAAATTATTAAATTTTCTTTGAGCTCTAGAAAAAGCGGCAATTTTTCATCATCTTCGGGAGCTGCAGGGGGAGGATGAATTCGCCCAAAATGCCCACCCTGGATCCGCCAGCGAGGTTTTGTGTTTTCGGTCGGACCCCCCCAATCCCAAAACCGTGGCGGAGCCCCTGCCATGTTATGATACCGTGACAGCTACCGGCGCGATGTTTGCTGCAGTGTGGTGGTGCATGCGGTCTGTATAAACGATCGTCTCCACTTATCTATCGGCTGCTGAGCACCGTTATGTTTCAGCAAATGACTAGCAGGTCTGGCCAAGGCGGGTTGACCGGCGGTGTCAGGAATGCCGTCGAATGAGATAACTTTACGTCAGTGTTTTTATTTAATTAGTGCGACTTAATGAGAACACACACGAAGCTTAGGATACAGGATCTAGATGATTACAGTACCTACCAGTATAACGCCTTTTGGGGCGACTAACGGAGCGAGCGAGAGGGTGAGCCTTGCACGTGCGAAATTTTGACGGGGTACCTCCAGCTGACTTGTGCACGGCACCCTACTAACCGGTCTCTAGCGATGTGCCAAATTTGAGCACAATCGGCCCAGCCGTTCTCGAGATCTGGAAGCGGCACCCTGCACGTGCGCACGTGCAAAATGGGTCCCAACTGACTTTTGCACGGCACCCTACTAACTGGTCCCTAACCATGTGCCAAATTTGAGCACCATCGGTCCAGCCGTTCTCGAGATCTGGAATCGACCCCTGCACGTGCGCACGTGCAGCAGCACCCCAACTCTGGCACATGGATATGCATTGCCTAGTGGGTGCCTACCTACATGCCAACTTTCAGCGCAATCGGCCAAGTAGTTACCGAGATATTACAACAATTACAAAAGTGACACCTCTTCGTTTTGCACGTGGCACGTGCATAAGGGGTCACCCACATGCATCGGCAATAGTCCAATACTTGGTAGAAGGAATGAAGCTACCCTACAAAAATTACCGCGTGTAAATCGGTCAAGTGGTTGCTGAGATATAAGCCTCGCAAAAGCGTGACCACGGCCGGCCGGCCGGCCGGCCGCTCATACTCAGAAATTTCCGTTAATCTAAGGAAAGACTACGCTCGCTTCGCTCGCTCCGTAATTACTATGCATTTATCCGACCGTGGCCATGAGCGTTTTACATGAATGGCTGGTTGATTGGGATTGCAGTAAATAACAACAAGTGCTCCTACATAATATTGCTGCTCAACTTCTGCTCTATTTTCCTGACGTTCTGCTCAAAATGGGATTGGGAGGGATTGTCCGCTGGACACAGTCCCTCCACAGTTGCCATTCCTCCGACCTCCAAGGTACCGCACGACTACCAATCTCTGCCACTACCCACTACCCACTTCCCACTACCCACCTTCAGCCGGAGTTGACAGCTGATTGTGTGGCCCGGACCGTGGGTGTAGACTTGTAGAGCCTTCTCATCCTTTAGGGGCAGTATTAGCCGTCACGAGGGCAGCTCAGTTGAGAGCAGGGTGACTCACGCCGCCCTACAAACTCTGCACCAGGACACCCACAGGCCGCAGGGCATTCCAAATCTGCCTTGAATAGAGTCGGCGCGATGGGTCGAAAGGTAACATACCACCTCTCGCCAGCGCACCTCTGTACAACATAATCGGGTTTGTGCTGTTCGGGTAAGATCTTGTTGTGGGATGTAAAATGTGATGTTATCGCAGCTTAGTTCATTTCATGGATGCTGATTGCTGGAGGATTTTTGTCTACGCTCATATTGCAGGCACTAAATTGTTGCAGGATCATAAAGGGATTTCTTAAAATGAAGTAATGATACGCTTGGAAAAGCTGGTTGTTGAGGGATTTCTTGAAATCGAACACGGATACGATTGGAAAAGCTGTTAAACTTCTCTGCTGCTCTTGTAACTCCAGTAGGTACGACGTGCACCTGACCTGCCACCTGTGCCCGTGTCCCTCCCGTCGACCCGTACCACCTGCGACCGTACCACCCCGTCCCGTCCCGACCACCCCGGTGCCGAGTCTTTCCGTCCGCCCTCCCTGTGTCCGAGCCTCGATCCGTCTGTGTCACCTGCCGGCCAGGCGAGGTCGAGTCGTGCGGCCCGGATTCCGTCTGACCCAGACTGTCACACTACCCGTCTCGGCCGGGGTCGACCTGTCCGTCTGACTTTGTCTCTGTCTCCCTCGTCGTCTCCGTTTCTACTCGTTTTATCGTCTGCACGTCCGTCCGTCCGCCTCCGGTCGTCTGTTCGTTTGAATGTTCGTCCTTCGCTGTTTGTCTCTCGTCTCCCTCCTCCGTCTCCGCCTCCGCTTTCGTTCGTCTCCGTCAGGTTCGTGATTCCGTCTCCGTCTCTGCCTCTCTCTCTGTCTTTGCCTCTGTCTCCATTCCTGCATGTGTCTCGGTCTCCGTCTCCGTCTCTGGCTGTCGATTCTAGTCCGCCGCGCAGACCGAGGCCGGTCGTCGCTGTCGCCTGCGAGTCGCTCTTGAGAGCGCCTCTTCTCTGACATTTGAATACAATGGGCGGCCTGTCGCAGCAAGAATACGATATTAGGATGCGCGGTGAAAAGCGATTTGAGTGTATTGACATAAGCTGTAAGAGGCTGGAGCGTGCCAACAAAGCAAGGTAGGCGGACCGGCCGGTCGGACTGGGCTGCCGCGTCTGCGGGACGCAGCTGAGGAGACCGACCAGCTGGGTCAACCGAGTTCATTTTATTCATCAGCTCTTCTTTATATAAATCGTTCAGGAAAGCAGGGAAGTTTTCACGACTTTTCCTGTGTGGCTGAGATGGTCGCCATAACTGGAAGTGCAACTCCTTGTGATAGACTTCCTTCGGAGACGAACGCCGTGACGTTGTGGAGACAGTGTTTCATGAGAGGCGGCCTCTCTGAGGCGTGAACGGATCCTGCCACTGGGCTCTAACCGCACACCGTGCACCTTGTCCTTCCTTTATCCCTTCATCGCGCTAGGGCGGTCACTGAACAAATCGGCAATGCAAAGCTCCACACCTGGTGCGAGGAATGCGACCAGCATCCACCCAACATTCTAGGAACTGGTGACGACGGCTTGATCAACATCATGACGTGCCTTTTCGTTTGGCCAGCGGCGCGCGCGGTGCCTGGTACAGCACCTCGGCAGGGTAAGCCAAGTCCAACGCCGCCGGTGTTGTGCACAGACTGCACTGATATGCACAATGCACAGGGCGGCGCACACAGCCGGGGAGCCGGTCGGGGTAAACAGTGATTCGGTTTTGTCGGTCCTGCTCTGCAGCTGCACTGGCCAGTCGGTGCAGACGTTGAGCCCGGTCGCCTGAGCCTGCTCTGACCTTGTGCGGGGGGCTTCGTCCAGAGGGATCGGTGGGTTTAACCTGCGCAGAAATAGAGCGGAGGTCAGCGGAACTTCCGACGCCGAGTGAAGTGGAGCAGGTGAAATCAGTTAATGGGGCAGTCAATCAAAGAGCTTGAGAGTTTGAATTCAGAGTTTGAATGAGTTTGAATGAGTTCAGAGTTTGAATGAGGCCTGCTTGTTACGCCTTTTATTCACAATACCACCAAACGCGATTCTAATTAACTTTCAAAGTAAGCCGTACCCAAAATCCAAATGTAACAAAAACAATGCAGCGCACGTCTTGTTCACTTCAACTTATAGTACC